TCGAAGGTGTTTTTGTCGAAGATCAGATGGCTACTGCTTCTGGGGTTGTTTTTGCATCATCAATTCTGTTCCATTGATCAGCACATCTGTTTTTGAGCAAGTACTGGCTTTAGATGTAGTTCATTTCTTTCTCTGCACTATATAATATCCCTGGTAGGGAATTTATCATAATTTGTGTGTCTGGTTTCCTGATGTTAGACATTTTAGTTGTATCTATTTTTTTACTATTTCAAATAGTGCTGCGTTGAACATTCTCATCTCTGTCTTCTGGTGTTTGGACACAGTAGTATCTCTAGGGTGTAATCTAGGAGAGGTATTGCTCGGTTGTATGATAAGTGAATGTTCAACTTTTATGAGATAAGCTCTAATTGATTTTAAAGTGATTGTATGCTTTAACATGACTGTCAGTGAGTAAGGAAGAGCCTATTGATCTGTGTTCCCTTGCCCAGCATGTGTGAGGCCAGGGCCAGTGCTAGGCAAGTGCTAGACCACTGAGCTAAATCCCCAAGAAGGAAAAAGCAGTAAGGGCCGACAAATCATGGCTTACTGACTGCTGGTCTAAATAAAATAAGCCAAAGATTATCAGATTGAGATAAAACCAAAATCTCTTGTATATACTCTTTACAAGAGAAAGTAAAATGCTGAAAAAGAAAAGATGTACCACCATAAGAGAGATATATAACCATAAGAGAGATAGAGTACCCATATTAATATCAGACAAAACAAGTTTTAAAACAAGAAGAATTACTAGATTTGAGAAGGCTGGGATTGGTGACTCATGCTTATAATCCCAGCGCTATGGGAAGCTGAGGCAGGAGAGTTAAAAATTCAAGCCCAGCTCGGCAATGTAGAGACTTTGTGAGACCCTCTCTCAGAATAATAAAATTTTTAAAGGGCTAGGAATATAAATCAGTGGGAAAGGTTTAATCCTGTACCACAAATAAAATAGTTAAGATGGTATATGTTTTAGTTTTTACCACTGGGCGGTGGGGGTCTGTGCAGTAGTGCGGACTGACACTAGGGCCTCACACTGAATTACATCTGTGGCACTTTTTCATTTTGAGACAAGGTCTTGTTAAATTGCCCAGGAGGGACTTGAATTTACAATCTTCCTGATTCAGTCTCTTGAATAGCTGGGATTATAGATGTCTTCCCACTGCTCTGCCTCTCCATATTTTCATTTTAATTACTATTTTTTCTTTTTTCACATTAAGTCTCACCAAAGAGTTAATACATTCAAATAATATTTTTTTTTGTTTTTATTCCTTTGATTTTTTTTTGGTACGGGGAATCAAACTCAGGACCTCACACTTGCTAGGCAGGCACTGTGCTGCTGAATTATATCCCTGGCCCCTCGTTTGTTTTTGAAACAAGGTCTCACTGTATAATCCAGGCTGGCCTTGAATTCACAGCAGTCCTACTCCCTCAGCCTCCCCTGCGCTGAGATTACAGGCGTGTGCCACCTGGCTGCTATTGTACCTTTAAAAAAAAAAGTGAGGCTGGGTGTGGTGGTGCCTGTCTGTAGTCCCAGTTACTTGGAAGGCTGAGGAAGGAGGATGGACAGGTCATCGTCCTGGGCAACTGAGTGAGAGACTGTCTCAAAATACAAAGAAATTCAAACAGTTCCCCAAATTCTCTATTCCATTGTTTCAGAAATATTTCTCTATATATGTTAAATATATACACACATCTGCTAATTTGTTTCATTTATACTATTAATTTCTCTCAGTTCACTGAAAAAGTTTTGTGCTATTATCTGCTGCTTCTTTGTAAGAGATTCTTTTCTACAGAACCAGAATACATGCAGGTGTATTTGGCCAAGGTGGATTATAATAACTCTTTCACAGTTAAGTTTATAACTATAAATAGACTAGTCAGTACTTTTTTTTTGGTCTTTCTGTTTTGTTTTTTTTTTTGGTTTTTCCCTGGTACCGGGAACCGAACTCACGACCTTGCGCTTGCCAGGCAGGCGCTTTGCCGCTGAGCTAAATCCGCAGCCCCATTTTTGGTCTTTTTGAGATAGGGTCTCGCTATGCAGTCCAGGCTGGCCTTGAGCTCACTTTGTAGTCCAGGCCGGTCTCGAAGTTGCAACGATCCTCCTGCCTCAGCCTCCCAAGTGCTGGGTTTACAGGCTTGCGCTACCACACCTGGCAAGAGAGTCTTTTCTGTGACTTGTACTCTGAGTAACATTTTGGTCATTCTTTTAGGATCATAGTACACAGTGTATTAACTAGTGTTGTTCTCTATTTTGTTATGAAATTTTTTTCTTTCATTCTATGAAATATGCTTTTCATATTTTATTAATGTCTACATGTTACATTAAAATATTTTTAAAATAAAATTCATATGGAAGGTAAAAAAAAATTAAGATTGTCAGGGATGTAGCTGTGTTCAAGGTACTGGATTCAATCACCAGTACCATGAAGAAAGGGGCTATAACTGAAGATATGGCTGAGATGAAAAGAATTATAAAAGAATACTATGAACAGCTTTACACAAATTAGAAAATTTTAATTAAGTGGATAATTTAAAAATGTAACTCGCCCAAACTGACTCAAGAATAAAATTATGTGAATTTGCAGGGAAATTTTACCAGCTTTTAAAGAAAGATGATACCTATCTTAGATATAATGGATGTGGAGAAACAAAACATGTACTCCTTAGCTCCTTGTGGGTCTGGTATAGGTCTGATGAAGATGGTGCAAAGTACAGAAATCTGTTGGGCATGGTGGCACACACCTGTAATCCCAGCACTTGGGAGGCTGAAGCAGGAGGATCGTTGCAAGTTGGAGACCAGCCTGGGCTACAAAGGGAGCTCAAGGCCACCCTGAACTGCATAGTGAGACACTGTCTCAAAAAGACAGGGAAAAAAAAAAGCGGTAGAAATCTTAAGAAATACTAAGGAGGTACTTCAGCAGCACTGCCAAGATCATAAACCATGAGCAAGCTGGATTTATTCCAAGAACACAAGGGTAGCTTGGAAAACTGCAAACATCATTCATCACACATTGAAAGATAAAAGGAGAAAACTCAGGTAATCATTTCAAAAGACTCACATAAACAATTTGGAAGCCAGTTATTGTGCAGGCCTGGAATCCCAGTGATTTAGTGATTTAATGAGACCCTGTTTCAAAAGTCAAAAAGAGTCAGGTGTGTTGCACACACTTGTAATCCCTGCAGGAGGCTGAGGCAGGAGGAGCGCCACGGATTTGAGGCCAGGCTGGGCAACATACTGAGCTGAAGGTCAGCCTGGACTACAGAGGGAACCCTAACTCAAAAAGCTACCCTCCCCAAATTGTTTATCTGAATCTTTAGAAATGATTAAAGATTTAAGAATGACTTAAATTTTGTGCAAGTGGTACATGGATAAGATGGGCACACGAGGACAGGGGCAGATTCAGGGGTGGGGAGCAGGAGCTCAGATTTGGGTGTCAGGTGTGCGATGCCAGTGATTCCAAGTGAGAGTGCTGAGAGCCGTCAGAAATGAGTCTGGAGTTCAGGAAGGAGGAAGGGGCTAGAGATGGAAACTTGGGCGTCATCGCTTACTGATGCAATTTAAACCCATAAACCTGGGTGAGGTCTTCTGGGGAGCAGACGAGAGAAGACCAGGTTTAAGGTTAGACTGAAAGGGGAAAAGTTGAAACTGTGGTTTAGGAAAGATGAGATCAGAACGAAGGAAGCAGCCAAGGGCACCCAGGAGGGAACAGGTCTTAGGATTTTGGTAAAAACTTGGCGTGAGAGCTAGTGGGGCATACCTATAATCTCAGTATGTAGGAGGCTGAAGCAAGAAAGATCACAGGTTCAAGCCTTGCCTGGTTTGACAATTTAGTAAGACCTTGTCTCAGAATAAAATAGGGCTAGTGATGTGGCTCAGTGGCAAGGCCCTGGCTTCAATCCCCAGTAATGAATAAAAGTAAGGCAGGCTGTGGAGCCATCTCCTGGTCTGCCCTGACAGCCATCTGCCGGGTGTCCCTTGGGAGTGCTCCCATAGTTTCCTGAGCCCCGGTGGTCAGCGTTCCATAGTCTGAGGTGATTCTTCTGTCCACAGTCCCCTGCCCAGAGCACAAGATGGGGCCAGTGACTGGTAGGTGGATGGCTAAGTGAATGAACAAACACTTTCCTATTCTCTTCTCAGTTTCTAAGGAACCAAAGAAATTGATGGCCAGAACATCCCTCCCTACTGTCAAGAAGCCAGTGACTGCTCCCACTGGACCCAGCAAAGCCAGGTAAGGGGCAAGTGTCTGGGGGCAGAGGAGGTACCCCTCCCTGCTCACCTCCCTGAGGCCTCATGGGGATGTGTTCCAGGACACCCTGTGGGGACAGTCAGAAGCGCCCCTCCCGGGATGCAGGTAAGGGCTTTCTTCCTCCAGTGGGTGGGAGCGGGGCTGGGAGACAGGGCTGGGGGGCTTTGCTGAGGGACAGAGATGGGGAGAGGTGAGGGTTGGGGTGAGTCCCTCAGTTCTGCTCTCATAGGCTCCAGTGGCAGCTTCCTCAGCGGGGTTCCGGGGCCGCCGGGCAGAAAGCGATCCAATACCCAGGCTCTCCGGCAGCACTCTGCACCCAGTCAGGTGAGACATGGGTGGGTGTGGTACCGGGCAGAGGCTGGTTCCCAGAGGTGTGGCGTGCAAGGGTGAAGGATCCCAGGCAAGGGGAACCAGACTTGACCCTTTCAGGTATCCAGGCCTCTGCTGAGACTCTGTCCCCATCACCACGGGGGAGATCACAGCAGCTTGGCAAAGGCCCTTTGTGTGACTAGAACCCCGACACTGGACAAGACCCCCACCAAAGAGAAGACCCCATCTCCAAATAAGGTCCCCAATCCAGAGAAGACCCTGACTTTGGAGGAGGCAGCCTCCATCCCAGAGAAGACCTTGTCTCCTGACAAAGTCTCTATCCCACAGAAGACCCAGACTGTGGACGAGGACTCCACTCCGCAGAGGGTCTTCTCTACGGATGCGGTCCCTGCCCTAGAAGTTCCATCTAAGGATGAAGCCCTTGGCCAGTTCATGGCCCCTGCCCTGGAAAATCTCATGACCCCAGAGCAGGGGCTTCCCCAAGAGGTCTCCCCGGGAAAGGGCACTCAGCCCCAGCGCTTCTCTCCTGAGGAATGCCTGCATCAGCGCCAGGCTCTGGCGGCCATGGAGACTCAATCTCAAGAAGAGGTCCCCGTGCCAGAGCAGGCTCCCCTGCAGCCTGAGTCCTCAGAGAGGAGACAGAGGGACAGCCGCCTGTTCCAAGAGGAGTCCGAGTCCCAGCCAGGGCCCGCGCCTGCCCTTGAGAAGGCCTTGCCCCAGGAGGAGGCCACAGCCCTGCGGAAGGAGGCACCTGCAAAGGAGGAGCCTACTCCCAAAGACTGCAAAGAGCAGGGAGTCCCTCATCCCCAAACCCCACACACCAGCAAGCAGACTCCAGAACCCCCGGGGACTCCCACCTTCCATTCCCTGGTTGTGCAAAACTCTGAGAACAAGAATGACGGAGTGGACATGACGTCGCTAATGCACGAGGTGACATCTCTCAGGAGTGCCCTGGAGCGCCTGGGGCTGCAGCTGGAGTAAGTGGGTAGAGTCGGGGACAGGGCGAGCTGGAGGGGAAGGGAGGGCGGAGCCCGGCCACCCTCACCTGGGCCTGGTGTCCACAGAAGGAAGATGACCCAGGTCTGGGAGGAGCTGAGGAAGGAGAAGGAGAAGCTCCGCTCGCTGGAGGTGGGTGGAGAGCTGGATGGGGGGGGCGGCGCGGCGGCCCGTCCCTGGCTCTGACGCCCTCACCCCACTAGGTTCAGATAATGCAGAGGACCCAGAAGTCCACAGCGCAGGGCTTCAAACACGCCGCGACGCAGACGCAGTGAAGATCACCGGCCTGCCTGGGAGGGACGCCGAGCTCAGGCCCCCATGTCGTTACACTCGGCTTGGGGAAACGCAAGAAAGTAAACTCTGAGATGGACGCGCCGAGTCGGCTGGTCTGTGTGGGGCGGGGACTGGCGGCCGGCGCTCTTGGGCCTCCACATTCCTGGCGGTCTCTCCCGGGCACATCTGGCCAACATGTGGCTCCCATTACCGTTCCCAAGGCCTGCGCGGCTATTTTTATCCACTGGATGGTGGGGGTTGGGGTGAAGGGTGTCTCCTTCGGAAGCCAGCCCTTCAACTGGAGACGGGGCAGGCAGGAGGGGCCAGCGGCCGGATCCCGGAATCCAGCTGTGCGGAGGCGGGGTGCGGCTCACACCAGGCTGGATCCTGGAATCCAGCTGTGTGTGTCGAACACTGAGCGCACATTCTGCCCCACCTGGACCCCCTCCCAGGTGGCCTCACTGTCCTTCCAGGGGGTGCTCTTGGCCTCTCACTTGGACGTAGACGTCAACACCACTGGTTATACTGGCGCTAACAGCACCTTAAGGTTAGGGTCCCCGGAGCCGGGCTGTATGTGGTTGCAATGATGCATGCGCCCGGGGCACAGTGGGGACAGGGTGAAGCGTGGCCGGGCGCTTGGCGGTGAGGAATGCACTTGTGAGGAATGCCTGAGTTACTCAGTGTGCCCGTCGGAAGGTGTGTGCTTCTGTCTGCAACCGTGAAGGAGCACAGGGTTGGTGGGGGGTGCGACCTAGTAAAGGAGTCAAGCAGGGACTCAGCCCTGCCCCCCCAAGGTAGGAGCCTGGGGTCTCCTAGGGACAGAGGTAACTGAGGGAGAGACTGAGTCACTGAAAATGCAGCTTTCATTGATCTCTTCACCAGTTCTGGAGGTGGTGGCCTTGCAAACCCCGTCCCCGCCCCCAATCCCTTCTGAGGGTGGGAAAAGGTGGCTCCCCGAAGGCGGAGGTCCATGCCCGTAGCACCAGGGGGGTGGGAGGCAGAGGCAGTGCGGAGGTCCGGAGACAGCTCTGGGCTCAGTTGCTGTCCAGTGTTCAGGCCGCCCGGGCATCAGTAATAGTGCATGCGGCCCAGAGTGCCCGTGGGGCCGGGACCCAGCGTGCCGGTGCCCAGCAGGTCCGGCTGCCCGGTGCGCCAGATCTCCCTCAGGATCCGCTCGCGCTCTTCCAGCCGCTGCGCGCGCTCCAGCTCCTCCGCTGACGTGAAGACATTGACGCTGAGGGGCCCGTCGGGCCCCGCGGACAGCTCGGGGCTGGGCAGCGTGTCATCCGGACCCAGCCGCGTCATCGTGTCCTCCTCGTCGTCGTCGTCGTCGTCGTCCTCCTCCTCAGGCTCCAGGGTGCTGCTGCGGGGGTCCCGGCAAGGAGCGGGGCCCCGGGGCCGCGGGCGGGGTGCGCAGGAAATGCTGATGACCAGGAGGCACAGGGTCAGCAGGAGCCCAAAGCAGACGCCCAGCACGAAGTAGAGGCCAAAACTCTCGGGGTTTGCTGGGGGCAGAGGGCAGAGGTTATGAAGCGGCCCTGGCGGGCGGGAGTTTTCCTTCTTCAAGACTCTGAGGTGTAGGTTCGGGGAAAGGACCATAACCCCTATTTGAGGGACAGAGGGGATCCTGCAAAGGACAGTGAAGGTGGGGGCGCTGGGATGTGCGGGTGAGGGGTGCGGAGGGAGGGATGGAGGGTTGGGGAGGCCCGTGCCCCCCAGGCTCGCTGCCCGTCCTCACCGCGGATGTGCGCGTAGGCGGCCAGGCTGTTGCTGAGCAGCTCCATGTCCCTTCGGGGGGCATCCATGCTGTTCGGGGTGCGGTTCCCAGGCCAGCCTGCGGGGTCAGCGAGGTCAGCTCCTCCTCAGCCGGGAGTGGACCCCGCTTCGCTTGCTACTCCGGCAGTTCCTCTCCCTGGAGGAGCCGCCCCAGCTTCCACCCCAGAGCAAGCAGTTCCCTAACTTGGTTGCAGACCTGGGCCCCATGAGGGGGAGTCCTTCCTCCAGGCGCCGACGCCCCTCATCCTGGGGAGCCGCGGCGGCCCCGCCCCCTGGGGGTCCCGAGATGAGGCTGGGTCTCGCCGTCTCGAGGCGGGATGGAGGGCAGAGACCGCGCGGGGAGCGATAGCCGCGTCCCTCCGCCCTCCAGCCCGCCCGCCGGGGCCCAGCGCCCCGGCCACTCACCGTCAGTGCCCCACTTCCCAGCTGTCCGGCCCCGGCGGGTCCCGCGTCCGTCCCGGCGGCCGCATACACCCGGGCCCCGCCGCGTCCGGTCCCGCCCGGCTTGGCTCCCGAGGCGGCAGCGCAGGCCGGACACGGGCGATGGACCAGCGGGCGGAAAGTTTCCTCGGAGGAAAGAGGAGGGACGGGGCGGGGCGGGGCGGGAGGAAGAGCGGCGGAGGAAGGGGAGGGGGGCGCCCTCCCGCACAGGAAGCCGCTGGGGAGGCCGCTGCAGGGGCGCCCCCAGGCCAGTAATAACAACTTCGTTGTTCTTAAGCTGCCCTTCTGCCTAGGTGCCCGGCGCTGGGCTAACCCCTTCCTGCAGTCTTTCATTTAAACCTTTCAACCTAACAACCTTATAACGTGGGTATTTATCGTCATCCCCACTTCGCAGATAAAGTAAACTGAGTCATGCAGAGACAGTCAAAACCAATTCTCTGTACCTTAATTATTATCTTCTGGGAGTGAGGGAGGTTCCACAGCTCTCCAGTCCTTCCCACACCACGCCGAGGTCGTCAGCACCCCAACCCCTCCTCCAGGGCCCGGGCTTAAATGTGTCCAGCTGGCCAAGCTCTGGTGCGGTCACCCTGGGTTAATGATTACTGGGCCAAGCGGGGCAGGCTTGCACGCCCCAGTGTGGAGCCTCTGGTGTCTCTGAGCTCCTGGAGATGAGCCCTGCAGAGTGTGCCTTCCCTTACCTGCCGGCGCACACGTGCGCGCCCACCTGGGCTCAGGGCTGCTGCCTGCAGTGCTTGGTGCAATCAGTGTGTGCAGCTGGCAGCCTTCTCTCTGCCCAGCAAAGCTCCTCCCCGTGGTTCCCCTCCCCGTGCTGGAACTGGGGTGAGGGGGAGGCCTTCTTGGCCAGAGCCTTAGAGAGGAGGAGGGAAGGGGAGAGGAAATTGCAGACATAGCTGAAGGCACTGCCTAAGGCCTGTGGGCCAGCGACCCCCTCCCTGTCCAGGCTGCAGACCCTCACTCCCCCAGGCCTGAGAGAGGTTCAAGTAGAGGGCAGATCTGCAATCAGCCCCGTGCAGGAACAAGTCTCAAGGGCAGATCTGGATGGAGAGGGACCAGAACTGACTTCCCTGAGTGTCTCTGTGACAGTGGATAGTCTGCTTTGCAGGCAGTGTGGAGGGGTTTCTTGCCCAAGCTTGGGTAGATGTCTATTTCTATGTAATACTGCCAGAGTGTTTGTGGAGTGGGTACTTCTGTGTGTTAATCTATACAGCCCCTTGTCCACAAGCGTTAACAGAGCAGGTGCCTAACCCTTCCTTGAAGAATGGGGCTTTAGCAGTAAATAGCACCGACACCTAACACTAAGTTGGAAAAACAAAACAGAGTCCAGGAAGAAATCTCAGGTGTCTGGGCTTGGAGCTTCGGGGCTGGTAGAGGGAAGAGGCACAGTCGGATCCAGGTGGTATTCTGAGGGCAGCTCGTGTGTGGATGTGGACGTGAGGAAGAGAGGAAATTAGCTGTGCTCTTGGGCGTGAGTACCTGAGGAAAGTCTACACTGGGAAACAGGCTTGGGGCGCGTGAGTTTTATTCTAGATACACTCGGTTCCATATGTCCATTGGGTACCTGCGTAGGGGTGTCAGAGAAGCAAATGGAGTCCCAAGTACCATATCCAGCCTGGAAACGGGAGGTGGATTTAACACCCCAGGTGTGGGTGGATTGCCTGGGGCAAGGGAACTGGGAGAGAAGAAAGGGGTCTAAGGCTTGAGATCCCTGGCAGAGGGGATTACGTGGAGGAGGAGTCTGCAGGGGAGACCAATGAGGTAGGAGCCAGACCAAGGAGCGAGTCGGTCATGTGACTGCTGACTGTGCAGACTGTATTTATGTACTGTATTGCTGGGAGTGTGTTGGTGTGTTTATGGCTCATGCATGTGAGTACTGGTGTGTGCTGCAGCTGCACTTGTGTAACTGTGCATATTGCGGCTTGTGTGCCTGCGCTTATGTGACACATACCTGTGCCCCATGAGGGCCCATGCACCTCTGTGTGCAGTGTGGGGTTTCTCTCCAGCTGTTCCTGTTCGTCTCTGCTATGCAGATCGCTCTACCTCTACTGCAGGCAAAGGTGGTGTCTGTGTCTATGACCTGTGTGTTTGGAGCAGGTCAGGTGTGACTGAGCCCGGGGGAAGCACAGTGAGGGGTAGCATGGTCACTGGTTCCTATAAGAAGGAGACACACACACAGTACCCAGAGTGCTACCTGCTCCGGGAGGATGGGTGTGTCCAAGCCAGGGCAGGTGTGAGTGGCGGCTCTGAGGAGTTGAGGGAAGATGCCTGAAGCCATTGGCCTATGTGGTTGCCTGCCGGTCTCTCTCAGCCTGCTTGCTCGTCTGTTTGCCCAGCCACCTGCTTCAGTCAGGTGGCTGGGATCTCTGCATGTTCTGTCACCTGCCTGTCTGGCTCACATCCCACCTTTCCACACACTGATTTCCCCACCTCCTCACTGCCTGCCTGTCCAGGACTTACCTGCTGCCTGCCCACTTGCCCTCTTGCTGGCTTCCTCTGCCTGCTGTCTGCCTAGGAGACGAGGGATTTGGCACTTTGGAAGGCGGAGTGCTCCTAAGAGAAAACAGGAAAGATAGGTCCTGATAGCAGGTCAGGAGGCTGAGAGATCCAGAGGTTGTAGGATGGGCCCCAGGGTGCTGGCACATTCAGGAACCAGTACAAACCTCCCCCAGGAGTCTGCTCCTGCCCCCTGGGGCCAAGCTGGGGACTGGCCCTGACTGCTCTACTCCCAACGCTGGGATGGGCGTCTCCACCACAGGGGTGGCTCTCAATGAAGAAGGGATGTAGTCAGACCCTGCTAAGGTCTGCCAGCCTCTCCATGCCCTGATGCCTCAGCTTCCCACAGCTGCTAGGAAGAAGGGTCCTGGCAGTTTGTCAGTGAAAAAGAATAGGAATGGATGTTGAGTCTCCCTCCTGATGGCTGGCACTCCCTGTCGTAGTTTGTCATGTGACTCCCATTTGACAGAGGCTTTTTTTTTTTTTTTTTTTTGTACTTCACACTTGCCAGGCAGATGCTGTGCTGCTGAACTATATCCCCGGCTCCTCTACTCTCATTTGACAGTGGGAGAAAGTGAGGCTCAGAGCATTCACATTGTATGTGTGGGTACATAGGTTTGAGTGGAGGGCCTGGATTTGAATTTAACCCATGCTGTGATACTTTCCCACGGACAGCTCTATGACCACAATAGTTCTTTACCCACCAGACCCAAAGCTGCCTTTCATGACACTTTCTGCTATTTTCATACACTTGTAATAAAAGTGATAGCTAATGTACCAGCCTTCGTAGCCAATTAAGATGTATAATGGCTCTCATCCTATGATATGAAAGAAATAAAAGCCAGACATGGTGGCACATGCTTGTATACCCAGCACCCAGGAGGCTGAGGCAGGCGGGTCACCATGAGTTTTGAGGCCACCTTGGGCTAGTGAGTTCAAGGCCCGCCTGAACTGTATAGCAAGAGCCTATCTCAAAAAACCTAAAGAAATAGAAGAAATGAAATGAAAGAAATGGTACATAGCTGTGAATGTTCCATTGCTGGGAGAGGACTGCAGGCTGATGCTAAAGCAGTGCAGGAGTGTTCATATGTGAAATGAACTGTAAAGTCTGGACAAAAGAAAACACCTTTTCTCTACCTTACACAGCAATTAGACTCCGGGGTGATTCAACATACACAATGTATCCCCAAATCCTTTGTGTTTATATGTAAAATGGAGTTAGATTCTTGGCTCTGGTAATTATAAACAAGTCTTTTACGTATGTCGTGCAGGATGTAGAATCTGCTTTCTCTGCGAGGTTGTCAGGGGTCCCTGGGCTCCAGCCTTTAAATGCTAGCAGCTTCCCCATCTTTGAGGGAGCCCCAGCCCCTGCGGTGGACACGAGCGATTCCTGCTGTCATTCCTGGAGCTCACCATTTGAGTAGGGCCGATGTCATCAGCTCTAACTGCGAGAACATGCAGGGCAGGCTGAGATGAGCAGTGAAGAGGGAGGGGGGCAGAGGAGGGAGGGAGCTGGGGGAACAGCCTTTCCCAGAGCCTGCTGGCATGGTGGGGCATGCATGTGATCCCATGCCTCGGGAAGCTGAGGCAGGGTCACTCCAAGTTTGAGGCCAGCCTGGGTTACAGTGAGTTCAAGGCCAGCCTGAACTACTGTCTTAAAAAACTAAAAATGCTTACTTTGTCATGTGCCACCTGGACTGTGGCAGAGGGAGCGGAAGGAGACAGAGCAGGGGCCAGAGCCAGGGGTTTGGGTCAACACAGTGGGCTGTGGGTGGGAGTGGTGGGAAGATATGAGGCTGACTTGACTTTGGAGCTGGAGAACCTGCACCCCAGGTTTCCTCACTTCCTCTCCCACTTCAAATAGGTCCATAGCACCTGGCTTCTCTCTGGAACCACTCTCCTTGAGGACCCTGGAGGACCTGGCCAAAGCGATGGAAACTTCTCAGATCATACTTAACTTTCAGGGAACATAGGAGGCTGTTGATCACAATGGTCACACCCAGGGGCTGGGGATTTAGCTCAGCGGCACAGTGCCTGCCTGGCAAGCGCAAGGTCATGAGTTCAGTTCCCAGTACCGGAAATAAACCAAAATCAAAACCAAAAAAACAATGGTCACACCCACTTTCTGGTACTGAAACGGTTCTGGGTGCCAAGGACACCAGTGGGTAGAACAAAGTCCCCACCTGCCCTGTCTTGTGTGTTGAATAAATGGAAGCTTGCCAAGTGCAAGTGACCAGGAGACATCTATCTGTACACTGAACAGATGCTGAACAGGTGGAGGGACAGGAGTGGGACACGAATGGAGGCAGGATGCAGAGGCAGCAGCTGGCAAGGGGGGGAGTGGCATGGTGGGCTGGGAACAGGGGCCGAATGTAACTGGCAAGGCCGTCCAGACTCCCGGGTTAGGTGAGCTCTGGGGTGCAGGTAGACCCATAGGCCGGGCTGCAGCCTGCCCTGCCTTTTGCATTAGGATACCTGCCTGAACTCTGCTCCTCTGAACCTAAACCTGGGTGAGAGTCTACAAGGATGCCACGAGGGTGTGGTGTGTGCTGGGGGAGGGGCTAGCCCACCTCTAGCCTCACTGGGGCTCAGGAAGTGCATTCTGTAGTCTAAATTTAGGCAACGGAAGGAAAGAAGGAAGGAACTGTGTGTTGGGGGGGTGCAAGGTGGTGCGGGAAAAGGCCTGTCTTGTCCTCATCGTACCCCAGCTCCCTGGACAGGCACATATGTAGACTGGGCTTTGGCAGAAAGGACCAATACCCTGCACCTCCAGTGGCTCTGGGCCCCTCTGGGTCTGCACAGGCCAGGGGCTGAGCCAAGCCCTGCAGGAAGAGCCATTAAGGCACACAGCTGGGGAAGTACAATGGGTCTGGGAGAATGCCTGGGTCCCTGCCCAGTTCACGATACTGAGGCTAGGCGCCACCTGCCGGCTGGGGGTGAAGTTGCACCTGGTGGCAAGACAGGCCGGCTAGGAGAGAGAAGGGCAGCAGGGCCTAGAACAGAGGCTCCGCCGAGGCAAGAAAAGCTGAGGCTTTGGACCACGGAAGCTCCAGACAAGGAAGTTTTATTGCTGACATGCAGGTAGAGTCCCCATGTAGTACAAAAATATGTCTTTATACAAACTTTTTTGTGACATTTTCCATTTTGTTTCTTTACAACAGGACTTCTCTCAGTGTGTGACACCAGTGAGGGCAGAATCAACCTCCTCTCATTGCATCTCCAGAAATGCCATCAGACCCATGGGCCCCCTAGGGAGGAACCAATCTATCTGATGGGGCTGTACAGACCCGAGGATATTGCTTTGAAAAGGAGGAGAAAGAATACACGCGGAAAGCGGGCCCTTGGGTCCTCGGTGGGTGGCTTCACCATGGCAGGCCCTGGCCAGGCCCGAGCCTCGCCGGAGGGCAGTCCCAGGCTGGGAGTCCAGGTGGCCACATTTCTGCTCCTTTAGGAGACTTTTATTAAATAAATATAGAAAAGAGCACAGCACCATGCCCTGGCTCTCGGCGGCTGGACAGCCGAGTGAGAAGCAGAGGTGGATGCTTGGGGAGTAAGTGGCTCCCGCGGACCCCCGGAGGCAGAGGCAGGAGGGGCCCAAGTGCTGGACTGGGACATGGGGAGGGAGGGGCGTGGGCGGCCCTGCTACTGCTGGCAAGAGGTGGCCCCATTTTTTCCAGATGGGGAAACTGAGGCACAAGGAAGTTTGGGAACTTGCCCAATGTCACTCACAGTGAGTCAGCTTTTGGGGGGATTGGAGGCAGCTCCCGCTCTGGGAAACAGTGAGGAGCAAGGACAGGCAGGAAGGGGCTGGGGATGCCTGCAAGGGGCGCTTGGCTTCTCAAGAGGACACACGGGGGGTAGGAATCCAGGGAAGGGTTCTTGCTTGACACTGGGCAAGACCAAGTCCAGTGAGGGAGAGGGCAGGCCTGGGTAGGGCATTCTGGTGAGAACAGCATTTCTGGCAAGACTGGCATCCACTTCAAAATCATGGCTCAAAGGGTAGCAGGGCTGTTCTCAAGCCAGGCAGGGCAAGACCTCAATCCCTCCATTTCTCCCCCGAAGTCTCCCGGCCCCTTGAAGGCCCTGTCTGCTGCTGGGGCGGGGGGGCACCACTTCTCCAGAGTAGGGCCAGGTCCTGGGCCAGGCCCCAAGCGTGCCTCCCCAGCCTGGCCACAGGTTCCCTTCACATTACGCGTCCACGTTACCTGGTTAGCTGGGTACCCGGGAAGGGTGGAGAAGGAAGCAGGGCTATCATGCAGCGCTTCAGAGAAGCTACTGAGACAAGAGAAAGAGCCAAGTCTAGAAAGGCCTCCCATCATCGGAAACAGCCTGCGGACTGGGAGCAGAGAGGGGCTGGCAAGGGCTCCCTTGTGCCTGGGCGAGAAGGGAGGCCAAGTGGGGGCTGCGGACCCTGCTGTCCTGCCAGGTTGGGGGAGGGTGTGGCCAAGAGCTGGGCCACCTAGAAGTGGGAAGGAAGTTGGTTCTGTAAAAAAATAAATATATTTTAAGTCGGTGTAAGATGAAGGGGAGGTTTTCCAAAGCTGGGACTGAGGGGCTGGGGTCAGAAGAGGGGCAGCACAGACTGTGGGAGGGGCTGCGAGTGGGGAGGGCGGGCTTTCAGTTTGGGGGCCAGCAGCGAGCTGCACTTTCAGCTTATTTGGACTGTGGGGAGCGGTGGCCTCACGGCCAGGCGCTGGCCGGCTGGGTCAGGGCCTGGGGCGCGTGGGTGGGTTCCCTCCTCCTGTCACTCAGTCCAGAGACAGCGTGGTTAAAGAGACAGAGGTAGATTAAAATGTCATGATTAAAAGCAGATTAGTTATCTACGCTTCTCAGATTAAAAAACCAAACAATCAAGCAATCATTCCAAAAGGTAGCTTTGTATACCTCTGCTGACCCCATGTGTGACCTGGGCTGTCCCTGTCCCTGCCTTGTCCCCACTGCAGCCTGCGAGAGTCCAGCGCTACAGGACCCAGCCCTGACAGCCAGGCCCTGGGCTGGGGGCCAGGAGAGGTGGCGCTGGGGCTAGCTGCCCCTGGCTGAGGCCACTATTTCCGCAGATAGCGCTGGGCCAGAATGGCCGTGTCCAAGGAGGTCATGGGCTGCGCGTCGTGGCCCAGCCGTCGCACTGGGGGCACGCTGCCGAACTGCCGCTTGGGCACCCAGCTCCGAGCCTCATGTATGGAGCTCTTCTCCTCAGCCAGCAGCAGCTGCTGCCGCATGTAGTTCTCAAACTCGTACTGAGAGCACTCCTCTGTCACCTTCGCCTGAAGCCGAGCGGGTGGGGACAAACACAGAGCAGCGGAGACAGAAGACAGGGAGTGAGTGCGAACAGCCTGGCTCTGAGGCTGCCCTTCCCCTGTGCCACAAACTTCAGGCACCAGCCAGTGGCTGAGTGGGTCCCCGAAGGCCCCATACAACTGGCCTTCCCCGGGTTGACTGCTGGGGCAGGTTCCCACTGCGGCACAGACCTGTGGTGTGACCAGGACCCCTTCCTTCCTACCTCTGACCTTGGGAGCGGTCACATTAGCCTCCTTGGTGTGAGGGGCCAACCCTGGCCAAGAGGTAAAAGAGTATGGTCTGGGTACTTGAACCTGGGTGCCCCTGTTTACCTCAGCTCCACATGCGGAGCCTCGGCCTGAGCTCCCCGGGGCACGGGCAGACAGTGACCAAAGGTCAGGGGGAGTTCATTCCTTGTGCTGGCCACCAGAGGGGACAGCAGCGCTTCAGAGTCAGACTTGGGTTCAAGGCTTGGCTCCACTACTTCCAAGCCATGACTTTGGGGGAAACCATTTTACTTCTCAGAACCTTGCTTTTCTCCCTTGTCAAGTGGGGACAACAACAGGCCACCCAGGCCACAGGGCGGACTGAGAGATGTACTAGGTGTGCGCACTCGTGGCTTCAAGTGATGACGCCTGGGCCGAGCAGCAGCTCCAGAAGGGTGGGAGCCCCTGCGCAGGCCTGGAACTCTCCCTTCTCAAGGGCTGCAGTCTCTGCTGTGGCCCCTGCTCCCAGCTGCCCAGTGCTTGCTGGGTAGCTCCAAGGTGGGCAGGAAGGGAGCCTCTCACATCCCAGCTCACCTTCCCTCCCAGGGACCAGCTGAACCCTGCCCTCCAGGGGGCGCCCTAAGATCACAGCCACCTGCTGCCTAGCGCAGTCTCTGCTCCTTCCCCGGCCCAGCACTTTCTCCAGAGTAGGGAATGGGGAGAAGAGAAAACAGGGACAAGTGAATCATCTGAAAAATGAAAAGCAGGAAGGGTAAGAGAGAACCCGGTGAGTCAGGAGAGAGGAATGTGACTTGGGCAGGAAGAGGAAGCCGAGAAAGGGCCGGGCAGGGCTTCCCTACTGTGGCCGCCACCTCCACAGCCCCTCTCTCAGGTGGAGCCTGGACATCTCCTTTCCCACTCCGAGGGTGTCTCGAGTGTCTCCTGTCTGCAGGGAGCTGTCACTGTGCCCCTTCCTCCCCGCTCACCTCCTGGGAGCTGTCTGCATTGCTCATCTGGTCGTCGATATCAGGAACTACTTGTAAAGGCCCGCTCAGAGAAGACAGGGACTGCCTGCAGGGGAGAGATGGGTCAGACTGCGGGTGCCCGCTTCCTCAGGGAACAACCTGGACAGGCAGCTGCCTGGCACAACCGCAGGCTGACTGGCTGCTCTTCACACAGCACACAGAGCGCCTGAGTGCCCAGCCTGGTGCCTGCCCAGCACAGCCCACTCACCAAGATGCGATGATGGCACTGAGGGCTTCCAGGACATCAGTGGCAGCCAAGCGCTGCTGGGGGTCGAGGACCAGCAGTTTCCGGATGAGACACACGGTGCTCTCAGAGACACGCCCATCCCTGCCCAGGGAGAGCGAGAGGGCTCAGCACAGTGGCATGGGCTGAACTCTGATCCAGAATGCAGGGCTCCCTGGGTTGTCTCCCCACTGGGAGCCCACAGGGCAGCCGTCCCCTCCTGGGAGACAGGACTCACTCAGGAATGGTGTACTCGGCGGCCTTGATCTTGCGGAAGAGCTCCTGCGGGATGCTGTCGTAGAAGGGGAACTGGCCGTACAGCATGGTGAAGAGCACCACACCGAGGGCCCACATGTCACTGGGTTTGCCTCGGTATGGCCGGCCTGGACATAGAGAACACGCGCACTCAGCGGGAAAGGACGGCCCAGGACAGCTCTGCCATGAGCCCGCAGCCCCCGCTCTGCTTCCCGGCCGCCATGAGGTGAGCAGCTCTGCTCTGCCACACCTTCCACCACCACATGCAGCCTGGCCGGGACTGGAACCTTTCAAACTGGGAGCCAAAATAAACCTTTCCTCCGGAAAATGGATACTCTCAGGTATTTTGCCCCAGTGAAAGAAAGCTGGCTAGCACACCAGGAAAGTCCTTAGCACACAGCCTCAAATCCTGTCCTGTGTCTCTTTTGTTCCTAGACTGACCCAGGCATGACTGTGATCAGAATGTCGTCCCCCTCCACTAAAGATCGTGTATAAGAAGGGACAGGACTGGTTGGATCCACCAGTAGGCCAGATTCCAGCCCAGGGCCTGCCCACAGCAGCGAACATGCTGCTGCAGAGCCTACTGTTTGCAGCCAAGATCTGCTGTCTGACACAGGCCCACCGTACCGCTGAGCACATCGGGACTGATGTAGGCAGGGCTTCCCCTCTGGTCCTTCAGCAGGTCCCCCTCGCTCACGAGATGCTTCCCGAGGCAGAAGTTGGTGATGGTTATCCGGTGAGTTCTGCAGACCAGAGGGAGAAAGAACGAACTCTGGTATCTACAGCCAGCCACCAGACCAGAGCCAAGTTTCCTTCCTGCTAGGCCAGCTCCCAGGCCTGGACAAAAACAGCTGCCCCCAGCCTCACCTGGGGAGCAAGGGAATCACACCTGCATCCTTTGCTGGCCCCCTGAAGAGCTGTATGGCAGGAATGTGTGTCACTGTAATCTGCAGGCCTCCCTGTGTTTGCCATCCTGGCTACATGTCAGGGGTACAGCTCAGAATATTCCGAGATTGCCCCTCAATGGCCTCACCTGATCTTCCAAGTTGGGAGTAACCTAGACATTTAGTTTGCCTCCCTCATTCACACATCATAAAAAGGAAGTCTGGAAGTATGTGACTTTACAATCTCCCACTGGCTCCACGGGCAATGACAGCAGGTCCTGAGCCTCCCCTGCACAACTGAGCAGCCCACCCTCCATTCCTCTGAGTCCCCCCTCGCTGCAGAAGACCCTGAAAGCAGCCAAGTGTGCCCCTGGAGAGGGATCGCAGCTCACAGGGCAGTCTTGCTGCGGAAGCCTGGTCCTGCACTGCAGTGTCCATGTCCCCTGGTGGAGGATGGAAGTATCTCCTCTAGAGGGAGACAGGGCCCCTGCTGACAGCACAGCCCATCTTTTCAGGGGCCCCTAGGTCTCTCCACAGAGCCCACACTTTGGTGTTGGCATCCAATCAGGCACATCACAGGGCTAGGAGGAGCAAGCCTGTATCACCCAGCACTTCCCCGCATCCCTACCGTCTCAAGACTGACAGGGCGGGGGCTGGGGATTTAGCTCAGCGGCAAAAG